TCTGCGTCATATAAAGGCCATGAACTCGTAGATATCACCACTCGTTAGTGAAAAGAAGGCAAAGCCATCACGGTGCCCCGAATCAAGCTCCAGCTTTTAACCAGCTAAGCGCGACTCCGCTACTCGAGCAAAAGATCGACGACAAACGAGAGAACAAGAAGAGGAGCTGGAACACGAGCGAGAAAACAATAGCGTTCCCCACTCGGAATGAAGAATGAAGGTCTATATCTGTGTTCAAACACATAGTACTGGCTGCACAGGTTCTCCCTCAAACGGGTGAGGCATGTTCTACTGGTGACACTCCTTCGGTTGCGGACTTAGGTTGGCGTCATTGGTAGATAAGACCACCTCACAGGCGCTCCGTTCCTCATCACAAGCCCTAGCGTTTGCAGACATTGCATCATTGTACGGCCGCGAAAAAGGGACCATCGTACTACTCGAACGATAGATGAAATCTGCCTATTAATAAGTGGCGGAATGTGTCTTTAAGTCCTTGCGGCTACTGGTTGTAACGTATTGCCTATAACTTTGCACCTTCTGCCCTCTTAAACACGTTGATGACCATTTAAGTATGACGCTTTATCATGTGGTTCCGGACTCATGCATCACATCCGACATCATGCCGTCATAAGCTTTAACATCTGGTATTTTTGGAGCACCTCTTTGCATATATTATAACCAATTATTGCAAAACGCATAGTCCGCGGAAAAAAAAACATTTCGAGTTGTTCATATATCGAGAGAACGAAAAGGTCAACGTGGTTTGAACCTCTTGGGAGAGTGCTCAGAGTCCCACATGCTAAACGAAAACCAGCGTGGTCATCAACGTGGTTATTCAATACTTTCCATTACTTCCCATTACTTTCCATTACTTTAACTAGCGTAACCTGATTTCATGACTATACTCACAACTGACTAGATTAAGAACATTTTAAATTTGTTGAAATTCACATAGCGTACTAATTCGATTGAAACTTATTGAACCATGAAATTATCAAGCGTTCACTCGCAGTTCTTCGAGCTCAGTTTTCCAAAATGCAAGTCTGTCGGTCATCGCATCAAAATCTATCGGAGGCGATGCATAATCACCACTGCATTGCATTGTTTTAGGGTCGTGGCGGAGCCTTCAAAGAATGTTATCACAATCTATGTCTGCTCCAATTAAAGTGCTTCAAATAAAGGAAAAACGAATTTTTTTGGCGCGTTTTTTAAGTCACCACATTTGACTCACGATACACTTCGGCATGTCTGTGTTGCGCGAATGTTACTCGCCTCTGGTGAAATAAGCACTTCTACTAGAATGTTCTGAAAGCCAGTCCGCAAAACCACTGCTGGCATTGTTGAAACCTAATAAACCTCCATGTATTGCCGAAATTCCTTCCAGCACTGTCAAACACCGTTTAGTTTCAGACCATTTCTGTAAATACATGGAATGGTGCTCGGATCGCATAGTTCCCCAATGGGGAGGAGGTCTGCATGATCACCAGTGTAGCCTAGGGAATCTTCTGTCGAACTTGCAGAGACGAATACAAATATGCAACGGCGAGGTCGCTCTGCTTCTTACAAGGGAGTCTTTCAGGTCGTGGCGCGCTTTTTGGAAATGGTTTGTTGCTGTTGTAGGGGTCCATACAAGGATCACAAAAATGGGTTTCATTTTTGCTATGCGTTTCTGGGTAGGTCAAAAACTGAGTGAAAAGAATTTGACAAGAATGGGCGATTTTAACTATCTTAATGGGCTCCGTTCTGATTGTAACTTCGAGCATGCATAGTTTATGAGGTGCTCGTTAATTAGACCTCGAAAATAGTTTTAAATAAAGTCAAAATGTAAGTATCATGTAGTAACACACTTGGCATGCACCGACGCAACAGTGATGTTTTTGTCAGCGGTCCCTCATAGCAGATAACTAGATGGACTCTGGATGGGAGACAATACGGGCCCGGAGAACAGGCTTATCCGCATCATCCAGAATCCATCGAGTTATCTGCTGCACCATCCGATCCGCCGACAGTGAGCATGAGGAGACCGCTGACAAAAACATCACTGTTGCGTCGGTGTCTTACTACATGATACTTACATTTTGACTTTATTCAAAACTATTTTCGAGGTCTAATTAACGAGCACCTCATAAACTATGCATGCTCGAAGTTACAATCAGAACGGAGCCCATTAAGATAGTTAAAATCGCCCATTCTTGTCAAATTTTTTCACTCAGTTTTTGACCTCCCCAGAAACGCATAGCAAAAATGAAACCCATTTTTGTGATCCTTGTATGGACCCCTACAACAAGCAACAAACCATTTCCAAAAAGCGCGCCACGACCTGAAAGACCTCCCTTGTTAGTAAAAGAGGACCTGAAAAGCAATGTGAATCCGCGTGTATTGAATGCGTTAGTATGTTATAGCCACCAAGGAAATAATGGGGGTGACTTCGTGCTCACGTTAGAGTTCCTGGAGAGCGAATCGAAACTGTTCGAAGACTGAAAGCTTCCTGGTTGGTTCGGACCCCACATCAGGTAGCTTCCAGTCGAGTGCCTGAATGAGACTTGCTCATGGCCACTCTCTCACGATGTCGTCAGCTGATCTATCAAACCCGATAGGGCACGGTATTTTCGTCTCTCCAAGGCTGGACTGAATGAGATGGCGTCGACGGTACAGTAGAGATAGGAGATATTTGGTGAAACTGTACAGTTCCACAACACGAATTCCATCCTATCAAGCTCCGAACAAGGGTGTCGCGAATCGCGAGATCGCTCCTGAAGAAAATCCCCTCGATGCGCCGGTGCTCACGTATAACCGGTGCGAGGACCAAATATGACCTAATAGTGATCGCACGGAAACGTTAGACGACGGCTAATGGCATAATGATGGCTCCATCAGGGCGTCGTTACGGGTAGTTCAGTTTTCCTGTCTTCATGCGAATCAGTCCCATCATCTTCTTTATATTCGGCGGCGAACACGCAGGTCTCGCCCCTCAGAACTGTTAAATCGTCGGTCGACCTCACGTGAGTTCAGTTATCAATGTGTTTTGTTTATTGCTTGTCTTAATATAATTGTCATTCCACTTAAATTCATAAATTCATTACATCGTCATGTGTTAGTGTCTCACCAGGTATTATCTAACCAAGTCGTAATGTTGTTCATAGAGTGCAATGACGTTTGATAGAAGGGTGAAACTAGGAGACAGAAGGCTAGCGCGCGGCCTTTTCCATGTGATGTACGGACGGTTTTCTAAAGGGATGAGTCCACCGTAGCAACTGCATGTAGCTTACTCTGAGACGTCGATTCGCAGCAAAGGGGAATCCGCCGAAAAGTGGCCAAGACGCTGCTTACAGCGTCCATTAAGACTAAAGTAATCGAACTTTGATAGAGTTCCTAAAGAAGGTTCATTCTACTTATCAAGCGTCGTACTCGGCGGGTGTTTACAGTTCTATGATCCGTGTGCGTAAAAGCGAATACTTACAGTCCTCATCATTGCGGACCGGTGGGGCGTGTCAGCCAGTATGAGTGTGCACACTGTTGAAGCCGTTCTCAGCCTTTTTGTTGAAACGCGTATGCGACAAAAAGTGGTAGAAAACGAGTAATACGGAGGATATAATACAGTCATATCATTTGCTCGCTTTAAATACTGGTGGAGAGCGGGTTTGGCACCGCGCCAAACGCAGCCGCACTGAACCGCCCCGACAGTACGTAATGATGAGGACTGTATACAATTCAGCCCTTTGTTTTCCTACAGAAAAGTACTTCTAATATTCTAACTTTGATTGAGACTTAATGCTGTTAGTAATGTTAGGTTTCAAGAAGTGAGAAGGTAAGAGTAATCCCTGCAAAAATACCCAGCTCACATATATGCATCCCATATATTCTTGCCACGCTTGGCCCATTCATCAGCTTGGTACGTAGGCTCCGGTAATGAAACTGGCGCATCACAAATCTAAACTGACAAGTATCAGTCGAAATTTGAAAATTCGTAGGAATCGATATCAAAACGAATAAGTCAATGCTACAAGAATGCTTCTATAGCGTTACATTAACAATTAGAAGTTATAAAAAGCTGATTACTTTCCTGGGGAACTTACTTGATGATGAAATGTTAGAGCGAACATCAGCGACTGGACACCATCCATGCTCATATTGTTCTCGTCTATCAATACCTGATATGCTGTCGGCTTCGCTGTACCCTACAAGTGTCCCAATTAAGCAGCTGAAGAACCGACGATGAAGTGCTTCTGCACGACTTAACGAATGCAGGCGATCAGATGTTAACGGAAGACAGAGTAACACTGTTCACCATCGCAGCTCCTAACGCGACCTTTAAAGGCAGTTGGCACGATTTTTCCTACATAGCCTAAAGTGCTAGTAGGGCGCTGTATACACTCTACTTCGCTGCGGACGGTTGGGCGTGTCAGCCAGAAGGAGTGTGTCACCCTCTTTGAGCTGTTCTCTGCCTTCTTGTTGAAACGGGCATGCGACAAAAAACATCAGAAAACAAGTAATACGAAGGGTATGATACAGTATTTTCATTTGCTCGTTTGTACAACTCGTAGGAGAACGAGTTTGGCACCGCGCCAAACGCAGCCGCACGAACACGCCCAACCGTCCGCAATGAACTACAGTATAGTGGGGGAAATGGCGAAAGAACGTAGTGAAAGTCAAAATCCTGCGAAGAAAAAGCCTCCGTTTTCAGTGACTTGAAAATCGATTTCGGACGAGTTTCCCGTAGGCATCTTGCCAATCACCGCTACCGAAGGCTGCATATGTGTACCCATGTATGCATGCAGCATCACGGCCGCTTCATACCAATCCCTTCGCTTCATAATTTGCTTAGCAAATGAATGAATACGAGCGTCAGGAACGGTCGTCCATTTGTGGGCGGGCGGGCGTGGCGGGCGTTTGGGACGTAAAGTTGTGGCTTGATAGGGCCTTATAAGGGCACCTTCCTCGGGAAACCGCTATGCAGCGCTTGCCCAGGGTCGCGAAATTTTCCTGCCAGGAGTACTGATCCGAGCCGCCTTGGAGGATTCATCGTGCCAACTGCCTTTAACAATGTGGAGCCCGTTCACCAAGCAAGCACTACGTTATCCCGATAGCGCACAGTACTTGTCAAGCAGGGCGTGTTCGCGGAACATCGCTTGACTTCCAACAACCGCGTAAGCAGCGTTCGAACTTCGCGGACGCCGTCGACGCGCTCGGTAACAGCGTCCGATGCTATATACGTGGATGCAGCCGCAGAAGGGACCGGCCCCTGTATACTGAAAGTATAAGGGAATAGGGGGGGGGGTACGCATTGCCTAATCACGCTGTCTGGTCATAACAGTACCAGCCGATAGTGTTTTGGAAGAGCGTTGAAGAACAGGAGGCAAATTATCAGATTCTATGGAGGCAGCGCATGCCCTCTTGTTGCCCAATAATCTCTCGAAACACAGGCGACCTTCTTATTATTGGAGTTGTTGCAAGCATAGCGCTTCGACGCGTGTTACACCACGTAAATCTGACCGCTGCTGAACACAGGGTAAGGTCGTACGTCGCACGATCTTAGCAAGACCATGAGCGACAAATCTGCACGATAACGTGTCGTCCCAAACTCACCGCTTAACCCTGCACATTAGGTCACGTAGGAAGACCGACAAAGCAGTTAATTCGCCACGCCGTTGCGCGTGGCGCATCGCGACGGGCGACAAATTCTCGATGTGCGGCAATCTCTCGACTGGGGCAGCGAAAATTCATGCCGAGTGATACAGAACTTCCCCGCTCTTTGACGTTCAAATTCAGACGGCTGAGCAGGACAACTCGTCTCTTGCGTGAATGGCGTCACTAGCCACTTTCAGCGCGATTCATTACGATTGCCTTGTTGCTCGTCTCGTACGGCAACCGACTCACATGCTGCGTGCTGGAACGCTGCGTGTTGCGCAAGACTATTACGACAGCAGAAAGCACGAAATATAAAGTACCTACCGCTGGGATTTCAAGTAAACAACTGTTATGCAGTAAATAGTAATATTTTTTACCAATGCCGAGGTCAAGGTATTACAGCTCATATCGCGGTTCGAAGGGGAGTTGCAACAGCCTTCATGAGCGCCGGCGATAGACAGCTGCTAGGCGAAGGCATAGACAGCGCCTGCATAACAACGCACAGGCTGCACAGTAAAAGGTCAAGGCTGCACGTTAGCTCTTATCTGCCCAAACCAGCAGCTGTCTACCGCTATCACGAGCAAACTCGTGGAAACTCTCTCTCTAACGCCGAGATAGGAGCTGTATTCCTGGTTGCGGAGAACTTCAGTTGCTGCCAACTTCAGAACGGCACGAAACATATTCATTGCAGGGCTGCCATCAAGTTTGGCAAACCCTGCTTGTCGCATCCAGTAAATA